TGGCATCCTCAAATGAACTGTCTCCACTCTTTTGAACACTGGTTTTCCATTTACTGTTCATTACAAGAAGTGTGGTCAAATCTGTGAGCATGTGCTTTCTTTGTTCCTGAGTAGCATTTTGAATTGCTAATAAAAGGATGATGCCATGTGCTTATTAGGATGTGTTTGATCCATGCCCTTCTGATTTCTGTTATGATTGAGGCAGGTTTATGAGATGAGCTTTCTTGTGCTGCATTTATGTCGTGGTTATGTCAAGGTTATTTGTCGTTGCGAATGCAAACTGAATGAGCCAATAGCCTCTTAAGTATCTATCACCGACTTCAAATTTCCTTTATGGAATCCTGCCGACTGACTGATCCCGTCTCTCCAGCTGTGAGAAGCTGATCTTTATTTGACATTGTACTCAGTTCTTGAAAGGTCTGCAGTCTTTCTTGGGTTGCTCTTGTACTTGGGTTAAGGAATACATCCATATTAGTACTATGATCCTCATGTCTTGGCTTCATTGTAATTCTGGCTGGAGTTTGGGATGATAATTCCCAGAATATCTCTGCAGGCTTCACTGTCATTATCAATATAGCCAATTTGATAAAGGCCGTGGTTACTTGTAACATTTAGGGAATAAAACAATGGTACATGAATTTTCTAAATTTCATTGCTCTTGCTCTATATTTGGGATTTGGATGCACAATATACTGAAACTATGCTCCAACAGCTTGTATGCCGTCAGTTGTTCTGCAGAGTCCTTAAATGCCACCTACTTTCTTCACTTCATGACTGAGGGAGAGTGCCGTCCTAATGACTTGTGTTTTTATTAGGGAGGCTTCGAAAGAGTGCCTTCAGGGTTTAAAAACACGTACACAGCAACAAAGCGTTCGTTACCCCACACCATACCCATGGTTATGCAAGGGAGATGGAGTGCACCCAGAGCGTCATAACGTCTGGGCTTATGTAGACAGTATTCTTACCTTGGGTACACGACTCTCAAACCCTTCCCTTGTGCCAGATCATCACTGTTGAAATAATTCAGCTGAAGCTAAGTGCCCTTTCCAGCAGTTACAGCAGCAGCTTTGCTCTGCTGCTGCCATGATGTGCACCGCAGGCTCCTCTCTCCCCAGCACGAGTGCGAGTCACTAAACCAGCAAAAGCACTTGGGACCTCCCCAACGCTTCCTTTTTCTTCCCCCAACCTCCCAATCTTTTCCCCCACTTGTTCTACACATCTGTAGCCCTTCCCAGGTGCCCTTTTTCTGTCTTTTGTTTCTCCCCCTTTCCTCTTGGTTCTCTCAGGCCCTAGTGCTGGCCCTTCCAGCCCTCTCCAGCTACCACGGACCCTTCCCTTCCACCATTTCTAAGCAGGATTTGATGGTTTTTGAAAGACTCAAGTGTGATTATGGGCACTTGCTATAATCAACCAGCTGGCTTTCCTACTGCTCTGCTGAATCGGCCATTTCGGCTACAGTACTTGTCACGGGCAGAGGCCCCCCGAGCAGCCCCTTACCGAAGAACTTTGTCTGGGAAGCAGCAGCCGCCGGCGTCCTGGTGTCTCGGCAGTGCAGCTCTGTGACCTGCACGCATCTTCCATCTTGCCCGGCGGCTTCCCAAACAGAACAGCAGCGTCAAGGGGGAGATGGCCGGATTTGTGGCACTTAAGAAAAACAAAGCAAATCTGCTCTGTGTGGCACGTGTACTGTGTAGCTGAATTGCCAGGTTAAAAAAAGAGGAGCTGGCAACAAATGATCTGGTAGGTGCGAGTGAGCAATACATGGGCTCTTTTGGCTTTATAAAGGGTCATAGATTCATAGATTCATAGATTAAGGGTCGGAAGGGACCTAGTAGATCTTCTAGCCCGACCCCCCGCCAGGGCGGGAGAACAACAAAAAACCCCAAAAAGAGAAACGGGACTCAAATGAGTCCAGCCAGGTAGGCATCCAGCCTCTTCTTAAAGACCCCCAGGGTAGGGGCCAGCACCACTTCCCTTGGAAGTTGGTTCCAGCTCCTAGCCGCCCTAACTGTGAAGTAGTTTTTGCGGATGTCCAATCTATACCTCCTCTCCATCAACTTGTGCCCATTACTCCTTGTTATGCCAGCGGGCACTAGGGGAAACAGCGTCTCCCCCAAACCCTTCTGGTCCCCCCTAGTGAGTCTATAGACAGTCACCAGGTCCCCCCTCAGCCTTCTCTTGTGGAGGCTGAATAGGTTCAGGTCCCGCAGTCTCTCACTGTAGGGTCTGCCCTGTTGTCCCCGGATCATGCGGTAGCAGCACTGCCATAATGATCTTCATTATGCTGTATGAGAGTAAGATATTAGTACAGGGCAAGGCTTGCAAGGGCGCTGTTTAGTGCCCAACCCTCAATGATTTTCAGTAGAAGTTGGGGTCCAAATTCCCAGCCACACATTAAAAATCTCCCTGTTATTTATAAGGCTCTAGAATTTGTGCGTTTCTGTAGAGAAACGAAAGTGCTTTGTGCGCCAAAACGCTAAATTGAATCAGCGTTGCACAGTCGACCTGGTCCTCCCCAGTGTTACAGTAATGCATGCATTTTCTGGCATCCGCAGTCCACAGAAGAAGCATGTAGCGGTTATTTACATATTGGATGAATCAAGGCCTAAATTCTGACTGCTGGAAATTGTGAGCTAAATGGCTGAAGGCTTTATTAACTGAAGTCGTTATAATGATTGCCTTGTGTGTGAGCAAATCCATTACTCTCACAAAACACCTGCAGCTCCGAGAATGTCCTCCTCTTTGCACGATGTCACCTGTCAGCGAGAGCAGGGCTGATTAGCTGTATAATTTACAACTGACTCTGTCTGTCAAGAAAACAGTCCTGTAGTTCATCTTGTCTTTTTGTAATGAAGCTGAGGATGGGGTTAAGCAGTATGAGTTTTCCCTGTCCTTTGGGTCATGGAGGATAAATGGTGCTAATGCGATCTAAGCCACAAAACTCACGGCTTGACCTCGATGATTCAAGTTTTTTTTTATCATCCAGCAGCAGTAGAGCCTGAATTGGCTCTTCAGAAGCCAAAAGGTCTAATCAACCTAACCACCTAACTAAATCATTGCTACTTGGGGGAAGAAAGCGTGCTACCATAATACCAGGCTTCCCTCTGCGTCCATGCTTGTGTAGGCATGAGAGATCAGGTCACTGGAATGGGGTGGAGTTGGTGTCACATTGCAGATTCATTGCCATAGTGCCAGTGCAACATAAAATGGAATAAAATATGCTTTTGTGTGATGGAGCTTGTTCCCCTCCCGCCCCCACAAAGGGTACGTGTCTTCTGTGGCCATGATGGAAGTCTCAGGATATTTGTAGATTTTGAAAGGACGTTTTCTGTTCAGATCTTCTGTAGAAGAGGATTAAATGAGTGCTAGAGTGTCATTTGGCAAGTTTTTTCTCTGATTACTGAGTTAAATATGGATGAGGACCCAAGCTACTTTGTCCTCTGTTCCCACCAGGACTGTGGCCAGGCCAGCTACAAACGTAGTCATGAAGCTTGTGCAGTTGGCTTGTCGAGGCAAGGTCTTCTTGGTCTAGGAGCCTGTTAGAGCCACGCTAATGATCTTGTGCGTTACCACTGTGGCAGCTACCCTTTATCTGAGCTCTTCCGCATGTAACGTCACTGGTAGTTACAGGCATGTGGCATTCATGTATACGCAGAACAGGCTCCCGTTCCTTGAGTGCAGTCTCTGAAGTTTGTAGCCCATCCATTTCTAGTTGTAGTCATCTATGATATTTGGACTCTTCATAAACTAGATGCAAAGACCCTTGAGTTGTGGCTTTTAGCACATCAGCTGTCAGTATACATCATGCAGGACAGGCTGTCCCTATCTTGAGGAACCAGCATGGAGGCATGGTCTGCCAGCACATAAGTTTTTCTCTAGATCATTTTGAAAAGAAACCCCTTGACAAGCATGTTGTTCACTTAGCCTTGGGGAGGGTAAAAGCATGGCCGTGACCCATAAGTACCTATAAGAGGCATTCAACAAAGATTTGCTTTTCCAAATGTAAATTGTCACCCAGAACTTGGTTCCAGTGTCACTTGAGAAACCTACTCCCATCTCCTGGAAAAACAATGCCCTGGCTTCTCCTGTGCTTGGTGTAGTGGGAATAAGAGACGCCACAGCCACCAGTACTCCAGACTCCTAACTCAGAGGGGTTTGGGGATCTGAAGCAACCTCTTAAAGAGGAAATTTTCTCTGTCAGGTTCTCTGCCTCCTAGCACACATGTTAAATGCTCTCCTGATAAAAAGGCCTGAATATATATTTTTATAAGAGCATGAAAAGAATGCAGAATTAACTTTATATCAAGATAATTTTATCACCCTTTGTTACTGCCATTTTTTTAAATTTAATAAATTTATTTACTTGTTATGCTCAGAATTTGTAGATTTAAATGTGGAGGAAACTTGTGCCCTTATGGCAGATGCACAGCAGACTTCAGCATTAACATAACTCATTAAAATAAGATAAAAGTAGAGCTTCAAAACAATCTCATCTTTTGCCAACAAGCCTGTGAAAAAGGAAAATTTCACTCAATTCAAGATATGAAAGTCTAATCTTTCTGAACTGTAGAGAGAAAACAGAGCAGAAATTACAAGCTTATTTTGTGCAGGTTAACTCTCTGGGTCCAGTCAAAGCAATTTTTTAGGTATTTGGGGAGTTTAGTGTATAAAATCCAGAGACCTTTATGTTTCTTTGAGGTGTTGAATAGCAAGCTACCATTCTGGAGGATGAACACCCTACCAGTTTTAGCAAAATATGCAGATAGGTTATGTTGAACATATACAATTTTCCTACATTAATAATTACCTCTAGGTGACATGATTAGGAGCTGTGGTGTCCCTTCTTGCTCTCGTGCGTGTTAACCCAATGAACAACTGTAATTTACTCAGCTTAATAGCAGACCCGCTTTTAATTTTTAGTCAAGTGGAAGTTGACAGAATGCCAATTTTGTTGATCAAAGGCATGTATTGCCATGTTCCCAATGCTCTGAACTTTGCAGGGGGAGCCCATCACGTTTTGTGAAGAAACCTTTGTGTCTCACCGTTCCGCTGCGATGAGGCAGTTCCTCCAGAATGCCATTCAGCTCCAGCTCTTCAAACAGGTACGTCTCCACCATGCAAACACGTCATTTCACACTGAATGGGTTTCTTGTTTTGTGTTCTTTTAATAAGCACTGCTCATTTTCATACTACTTGCTCTGGATAAGTCACATACTCAGGGAAATTAGTACTTCCATTTACTAATTAAAGTAGATGCGACTCCTTCAGCAGTACTTTAACTGTTGTCTGCTAGCATTGCTCACAACCAAGTGTGAAACTGCGTCTATTAAATAGAGCCGTATGTTCTGCTCTGATTGAATTCCCATCGGTCAGTGTGAGCAGAATTGGAACCAATTGTGTCAGCAGATTCGGTCAGAACACAGAGCATTATTGTGCCCTTTCGGGGAGGCCAAATACAAGTAGTTCCCTGTTCTCTTATAAAAGAACATACTGGTATACACTGGCAAAGTGATGTTCTGTTTCTGTGCTACCTGTTTAAAGGCACGTTCATCCCAAAAGTTTGTAACTTTCTCTTTTACAACAAGTTCAGAATAATGTTTTCAGTTGTGATAGGGTTGGAATGCTTTATTAGGTTATACATTTTTCTTATAAATGTTTTTGCAGTTTATTGATGGCCGCCTTGATCTTCTCAACTCTGGAGAGGGCTTCAGTGATGTTTTTGAAGAAGAAATAAATATGGGAGAATATGCTGGTAAGAAATATTTATTTCTATATATAAAAAAAAAAAAAAAAAAAAACCCACAATTCTTGGATGTGTATTCCTGATTTAATAGGTCAGGATGTTCACTCAGTTGGGGCAAACGGTATCAGCAACAATGCCTGTGAACTTTTCTTTCTTCTCTAGAAGTCTGTCTGCATAATTATCTTAGGTTCTTTATGGGGCTTTACAGATCCCTGCTTTACCATAAGACCAGAAGAGGTCTTGCACTACAGGCCTGAGAAACTTTGACTGAAAACATTGCCATCTCTTCTTTCTTTTCGTGAGAATTAAAAAAACTCATTAACTTTTTCAAATGTCTGTGAGAGAACCCAGGGAGAAGAGTAATTCCACTTACCCACTTGTCTTTCTCCCATTCGCTATCTAGTTAACTTTTGGTTACCCTATTCCCAGTAGAGGGAAGAGGACAGATATCTTCTCCTAAATTATTCATGCCAGTACTACCACTACAAACAGTGAATGCCAGCATTTCTTATTACTAAGGAATAAAGAATTTTTCTTTCTATCTTCAGGTAGTGACAAACTGTACCACCAGTGGCTCTCAACAGTAAGGGTAAGAATACAATATTCTCCAAATGCACACCATCATTCTTGTTGGACCATTGACAGTTTTTGCACCATTATTAAATGCCACTAGCTGAAGCAAGACCAGTTTCAATCCCACAATGTTTAGTCTGGGTCAAATAACACTATCCTTGCAGAAAGATAATGTGCTGTTCATACAAAGTGAAAAATAGAAGGGAGAATGCACTTGGGAAGAAAAAAACCCCCAGTAGTGCTGAGGTTAATATTTCTTATGGTCTTTCAATCCTGCTTCTATCATCTTGGCATATAGAAATATGTGGTTGCCTATTCTGAACAGTTTTACTACTTAATAATTGTGAACAATGGGAAACATGGAAAAGGGGGTGCTGCTTTTTTCTGCTGCACAGCCCATGAGTTTCTGTGTCTGCTTAGACTAACACTGTGTATTTGACTGTGAAATATCCAGTGTAAATATGCAGAAATAATACACTGCTGTTTGTAAATAATAAATGGTCATTCTGGCTCCATACTGGGGACTTGATTTCATAGGTCTCTCCCCCACCAAAAATGATGCATCTACATTATCAGTAGTTAAAGCTGCACGTGACTGGGAAGGGATGTTTTGAGGAGAGCTCCCTTCTTTGAGTCTAGCATCCCATTCCTCTTCAGTCCTGGTTAGGAGCAGAAATTCACACTAGGCAAACTGCTGGACTGCAAGCTGTCTAGTTTGCTGAGGATTAAATGCCGTTATAATGTTAATGATGCTAAACAAAAAAGTGCTTACATACATGTAGTATTCCAAATCATGTTAAAAGGAGAGAAAAAAAGAATTGTTATGAATTAAGGTTAAACCGAAGTGCTTTCAAGTTGCTTTTAATAAAGCTTGTTTAAATTCTGTTCACTAACATGTAGTAAATCTCAAGTTAAAGTAGTTTGCATCAACATTTGTAACACTTCTGAAAGCATAATTGTATGTTAGGATAAACTATCGTGAAATTATGCAGCATTTTATTCCATGGATTTACCCATCTGCTGTTCACACAAGATTTATTTATCAAATAATGTACTGTGCAGCAAGAGTCAATGGTGTGCAGAAGATAAATAAAACACTAACTAGACTAATAGATTATTCTGTCTGACATATCACAGTCTTATGTGCCTTTTATGGTGTCCTCTGTATGCGATTCAGCTTTTCTGGAATTATGCTTCGGCTGTAGCTAGATTTCATGTTTTCTCAATTCATCCCTTCTCCCAGTGTTTGGATACCGAGAGAGACAGCACACCAGCAATATACAGACTGTAAGGGAAAAAAGGGCGTGAAAGGGAAAGTGCACTGCAGACAGTAGGATTTTTTTCAGAGCAAATGTACAAGCTACTCTGGATGGATTGGTCTGCCCCAGCTAGGCATTAGTTGTTATGGTGCTTTATTAAACATACTTGCTTTTAATGTAATGCATAGGAGATCCATGGCAAGTGACAAGGACTGTTATGGATTCTGTTTTAGTGAGAGGAGCTCTGAACATAGACATAATGAGATGGGTGCTTTTTGTTATCAGAAACTGAAATCTTTTATATTGCAAAATGCTGTCCTAAAAGTGATTTAAAAGGAACCAGATTTTCCTTGGAAAAAGAGTATCTAATCATTAATGAGAGATGAATTATACAGTATTTAAAAAAATACTAGCTGGATGTGAAGCTCTGATATCAAATACAGGTATTGCTTTCTGCCACTAAAATGATGTCTCTGTATCGTCATTTTTTGCTTTAAAGTGGTTCAGTTAAAATGACTCTATTGTTACTGTAATTATAGAAAGGAAGTGGAGCCATTTTAAATACAGTAAAGACCAAGGCTAACCCTGCCATGAAGACTGTCTATAAGTTTGTGAGTATTATGTACTATCATATTACCCAGACAACTGAATTGAACTAGGATGCTGTTTTAACCTTTTAAATGTATCCTGAGACTTAAGTCCTTCTCTGTACACTAATCAGATGGCACAAGATAAATGCTTTTTAGCAATGGAGGGCTGGCACCAGTATCATTAAGCGTCTATCGCGAAATGGTTTTAATTTCTGTTCCTCTTAAAATATTTTCTTTTTCAATTAAATGGTGTTTGAAACTTTTTATAGTAATTAAATCGCAAGAGAAATCACAGTGCCCTGTGATTTTTTCCTCAAAGTACAAAGTGACATTGTAATTATTAAACAGCATGATTTCTGTGGGGCAGTACCTGTATCCTGTACTAAACACCTTTCCCATTTCATCTGAACGCTGTTGGAAATCGATTGTTACCCCTGGGCCTCTCTGCTAGCACCTCTGTGGAAATGAGGAAATCCTCCCATTTTCCCACTTGTTCCATCTCTTATAAATATCCATTAAGTTCCCCCAGAAATTTCTCACACCTGTGTACTTTGTGCCTGACTTCTTGGGCTGTTTTTTAAATGGAAGTCTTTTCAATGCTTGGTTAACAAATAGGTAATAAGTTACTGCACTATGATTTGTAACTGCCAATTTCACTGCACAGGGATAAAATAAAATGGAAACAAGTGAGGATTTCTTCAAAACTGAATTCTAGGAAACAGTATGACAAAAGCCGTGAGGTGTCTGCTCAAACTGTGCCCACGTGCCAGCTTCCAGTTTGAGAGAGGCCCCAAGGTTTAGGTCTGGGTCTGATGAAATGAAGCTGGTATTCAGAGCGCTGCAGCAGGGAAGTTTGTAGCGCTGCTATTACTAGTAATTGTTACCATGCAGCCAGAGATAAGTAATTAAAGAGTGGGGAAAAATTGAAGGTTTTGGTGGGGAGGGAATTCTCTGCCATCACAACGGAGAAAACAAAATCTCTGCTACATCGTTAAAAGATTTTTTTTTAACCTCTTAGATTTATATTTGTTTTTATAGCTATTATGTTTTCAATGTGATGATCCAATTTTTTCCTTGCCATTTTGAGTAATCAGAGAAGGTGAGTCTTGATGGACTGAAATCAAGCACAGTCACTGCTGGAAATAGAAAGGGATTTTTAACTTAAATTAATTTTTCATGCAGGCAAAAGATCATGCAAAAATGGGAATAAAAGAGGTGAAAAACCGCTTGAAGCAAAAGGTACTTGAAGTTCTTATTCAAAATGTATAAGCACCACGTATGAAATACTTAGCCACAAAAAGCATTATGTGATCAATAGAAAGCTGTTTGATACAGTGTTGTTAGCACACTTCAAAATGCATTACCAGCTGTCCTGGATTTTTCACACTGTTATAAATATTCACAGACAAAAAAACTATCTTCAAATACATTAAGGCTCTGACTTAAACCCACAAAAGCCAGAAAATTGAGTGTTCCATTTATGGCTGTCCCTCTCCCGTCCATTGTGCCAAGGCATTGTGGGAGGGGGCTTTGCATGAACTAGCTGATCTTGCCTCCGGTAATGACAGTGAACTTTGTTCCAAATGGCAAATTGTTGTATATTCCCAGAGTGACCTCGCGAGGAAAATAGCCCAGGGTCTCCAGTTGGGTCCATGGTTAGCTCATGTCATCAGTGTCTCCTCTAAAGTTTAAGCACAACTGAATTGAATTAGGCTCTAGTTTTAAATCTGATTTTTTTTTCTTTAAATTTGTGGTCATATCTTCAAAAAGGGGAGGAAAGAGGACCTGGGGAACTACAGGCCAGTCAGCCTTACCTCGATCCTGGGCAAGCTGTTTGAGAAAATTATTCTGGCACGCATCCAGGAGGGGCCAGCAGGGAACGGCATGCTCAGGGGCAACCAGCACGGGTTCATCAGCGGCAGGTCCTGTCAGACCAACCTGGTGGCCTTTTACGACCAGGTCACTAAATCATTGGATGCAGGGGTGGCAGTGGATATAGTTTTCCTAGACTTCAGGAAGGCTTTTGATACTGTCTCTCACCCCATTCTCATTAGGAA